ACTAAACATTGACATTCCTAGTTCAGGGTGCCCACTTACCCCCACAATAGCTGCTTGTCTGGTAGTTACTGAGAGACCTCAAGTCCCTTTTCTGACTCAGGTCTTTCTTTCATGTGTTTTCATGAAATTTTTTTGAATAATAAGCCTACTATTTCATGTTTTGAGTGTTTGAAGTTTATTTTCCAGCCAACCCTTGTAAGGGATTTAGTAACAGACTGTGGATTTAGTAACAGATAGGATTGCATGTTTAGGGTTGGTATTTACATGTCTGGTGATTGAGAGAGACATTTCTATAACTTAGTCAGTAAGGATGGTGAGTAGGAGTTGATTCCTAATACACAAGGGAGTAGGCTCATCCATAGGTAATATAAACAGTAACATTCAGGTCTCTTGTTGTATCTGGCAATGCCGGGATCTCAGATACAGCCCAAGCTATTTATCTGAGTCACAAAGGAAGCCTAATGTGTTTTGAGACTGTTGTACTTAGGAAGCTGCATGAAAAGAAATGGGATGGACAGGGGAGGAAGAATGTTTCCAGTATGCAAGAGGCTGGTCTTGTAAGCTCAGATAATGTCACCACTATGCTCACTGCAATATCGCAGAGGGCCTGAATATTTATAGGGCACAGCCAATGTCAAAGCAAGAATTTGGGCTGCAGCTGCTTCCACTGCTGCTATCCTGGATATCGCATTGTCACACGTCTAGATTATCTAGTTAAAAATCAGTGTGTGGACATTCCCCCCCTTCTCCCACCTAACAACATCCCTTTCTTTCATGACTGCTCCTCCATGATTGGTTGGAAGTGGTGGAGGCCACTTTGCTGGCATGCATGTCAGCTACTTTGCTCTCAGATGCCAGTTTCCCCTGGGTGCTTGCAGCTAATGTGATGGAGTTTGGCTGCACTTCTTTGGTAAGAGCAGTTTCCCCGTTCCTTTGCTTCCTAAGCCATTTAGCTAAGGGCAATGTTTGTATAAACCGGGAAAGCATTAGTAGCCAATTGGGCAATACCACCTCACCAGCCTGGAACAGGGAGGGGCTCCTTATGCTAGCCATGGAGAAGAGGGAGATGTATGGAAAATGTGGTTGAGCCAAGCAAGGGAAGAGGGAAGACCACTCTCCCTGAAAACGCTCCCCTTTTGATGTAACTCTTGGCTATAGCCATTCAGGCACCCAAGTTATGAATCCTTGGGTCACAAAGTAAGAACCTGCACTTCTTGTTTGGTTGTAATTTGCGCATGTGACGCGGGAGGGGAGGAACCAGAACTGTATTGGATTGGAGATGATTATTAAGTCGAACAGCAGAATTCTTGAGACATGGGGCCGCATCCACATGGATTTTAATGTTTCAGGAAAGGAAAAGATGAAACCAAACCACCACATCCAGTGGCTGAAAAGGCAGGATAAGAATCAGAGCTCCTAAATAGGGTGACCAGAGAGCAAGTATGAAAAATTGGGACACTTTTTCGGGGGAAGGAGGGGTGCGTGGTGGGTGTAGGATGAGAAGAGTAGGCGGAACTGATGGGAGAGCAGCCCCCGATGACCTTACTGCATGGAAGACACCACAGTAAGTATGTTGACTTCAGCTATGCTAGTCACATATAGCTGAAGTTGTGTAGCTTAGATCGACGGGGCCAGGGGTGTAGTATAGACTAGGCCTTAGTGTCTCAAGGGAGCTGGCTCTTGTGTTCGATCAGGTATGTTATCTCTAGAATTTAAGTCCTAAGCTGCACTCTCGATTTGTGGTGCTTGGTTCTGGCAACCACCGCTATCACTCTGAACCCTCTCCACAATCGTTTGGGCTGACTGCAGTGAGAATCCCAGTAATAGCTGGTTTTCTAGGCACCACATAGCTGAGATTGGTCTCTCCCATGCCACGTGCATTTTGCTAGCCTCATGCAAATGAGTGACAATGGTGTCTTCTACATGTGGTGCACTTGGAGGGCTGCCTATTATAATGCATCTCTTGATGCTTTAGAAAGGGGCTACCAAGTCACTAGCACCAAAAATAAGAGTTTGGTTTTGGGGGAGGAGAGCTGCATCGGCAAAAATGGTTAATATTGTTTTTTCATACTGGACTTGTCTTTAGATGCTCAGGAAATATAGGTCCTTAATTTTCACACAGGTCAGCAATGCCCTTCTGCCATGTATACTGGCCAAACCGGGTAGTCTCTGTGACAAAGGACACAAATTAGACATCAGAAATGGTAATACACATAAACCTGGAGGGGAGCATTTTAATCTACCTGGTCACTCAAACATGGATTTAAAAGTAGTGATTCTTCTACAAAGGGTTACAGAGAGACGGCAGAACTGGAATTCATTTACAAATCTGACAGTATTACTCTGGGCTAGTATAAAACATTGACTGGTTAATGCACTACAAAGACAATTTCTTCTGCTTTTACCATACACATTTTCAGATCAAAAGCTATGAATGGGACACATCCAGCATATTTAATTAACTTCATTAACATGGGTCCTACAATTGACAGGTACTACTTTTGCTGTTATATATATCTCAGATTCTGTTGTTTCCACTCCAAATCATCTGAAGCAGTGGGTTTTATCCACGAAAGTTCATGATCCTACACATTTTAGTTAGTAGACTACATGCCTCTGTCGACCGAGGCATGTAAATTAGACATACTGACATAGTCAATGAAGCAGGGATTTAAATATCCCCCACTTTATTAGAATAAAAATGGCTGCCACATTGTGCCAGCTCAGCTGTTTGTCGGCACGAAGTGGCAGTCAAGACGGGGATTGGTGGGAAAGGAAAGCCTTTGCCGACCGATCCCTTATTCCTCGTGCAACAAGGTTTACAGGATCGGTCGGCAAAGACTTTCCTTGCCCACCAATCCCCGTCTTGACTGCCACTTCGTGCCGACAAACAGCTGAGCTGGCACAATGTGGCAGCCATTTTTATTCTAATAAAGTGGGGGATATTTAAATCCCTGCTTCATTGACTATGTCAGTATGTCTAATTTACATGCCTCGGTCGACAGAGGCATGTAGTCTAGACGTACCCTAAAATGCCACAGGACTACTTGGTTTTTAAAGTTACAGACTAACACTGCTACCCTTCTGAGACTTGTAACAGAAGTAGGCTATTCTGTTCATCCATTTTATTGCCAAGAGACATTTCTTTGTCATAACAGCAGGCTGGTGTATTCTAATAGGGTTTAACAGCCCTGCGAGGAAAGCTGCTGTCAGAATACTTTAAAGTTGGACAGAACATCTCCTGCTTTTTGAGATAGATCAGTAAAGATTCTGATTGCTTCCAGTGGGAGACTATTTTTATGCTGTCCAGGGGCTGTCTTTTATTATGAGTTCTCTATCACTTTCTTTTTTTTTGGTTTAAAATCCTAACTACATGTCTTAGGATGACCTTAAAAATATCATCACCATCTCTTGCAATCTGAAAAACCAGACACTCTATTTTCAAGATGGAATTGTGTTGCCTTTTATTAAGGAGTCATTACCAAATAAAGTAAGTTGGATTTCATCCAGGAGTGGGGCAGAGAGCAGCTGTAGCGCCTAGAGCTGCATCATCTTGGCTCTAACGGATGTCGTCACTGTTGCATAAAACCCACAAGTATATTTCATTGCATTATGTGAATCTTAATCTCTTTGAAATTGCCATGTCAGTAAGTGAAGATCCCAGCCATTAATTTATCTGTAAGATGTCCTTTTAAAATGCATGTTTAACTTAATTGTTATTTATTTTGCAAAGAAACTTTTTATCAGGGCACAGCTTGTTACCTCTGTGTCTGCTTCTCGATTCAGTTGTGACACAAGCAGAGGCGCGAGCCAAGTGTCAGTGTGTCAGCAAGGCCATGGGTTCAGACAGAAAGGGATCAGATGCCTAGCTTGTCTGATGTGTGCCTTCAACTGCTCCGTGGGCGTGCTGGGTTTCATTGTTAAAACCACAGTCCCAAAACAGAAGGGGGTGAAAACTTCAACCAGTCCTTGACAATAGGCAATTCAACTTTGCATAACGCACAGTAGTAAGTTTATGAGCTTTGTGCACACATCAACTCCCTCAAAATATATCTACTCGTGATAGGAACTTAAACGAGCACTGAGGAACATGGGATGAGTTTGAGGGGTTCACCACTTGTGCTGCCCAATGTTAGGGATGTGCTTACCTAATATCCAATCAGATTCAAGCTATAGGGTCCACATTTGTAAAGTGCCTAGGGGAATTAGACTCTTTTGTCTTTTAGGACTCCAAGTCCCTTTGAATGTGAATGGGATTTAGGTGCCTAAGTCATGCAGGCATTTTTGAAAATGCTGCCCTTGGTCTTACTCCAAGGTCTAGAAGGCATTTTATTAGCAGTGCTAGACAAGGCAACCACAGCTTCTGGTACTGCCTCTCTTGATCATGTCTCATAGCACCTTGATTCACAAGCAGCTGGTCGTTCCAAGGGACTACTTGCAGCGTAAAGGCCTTATCCAAAGTCCACTGAAATCACTGGAAAGGCTCTTCTTGACTTCCCTGGGCTCTGAATCTGGCACTAATGTACTACCAGCTAGGAGTCATCGTGGGAGGCTCTGCAAAGGGAGTAAACAAAATCTAAGTGTAACCCAGAGGCACTGAGATCATTGCCAGGGAGAGTGAAGTCTGCTCTACAGCATTAGCTGAGAGGCTATTGGCTTTAGCTCATACATTAGAGGCACATGGCTTTAGCTGTTAAGGTTGCAAGTTTAGTTCCACCTGCTGACGACCAGGGTCCGTAGGTTGTACACAAGCTTTTAGGCAGGGTGGGCAAGAATGGTGTTGGTAGCCTCTGTTTGCCGGAAGCTGGGAATGAGCGACAGAGGGTGGATCACTTGGTGATTCCCTTTTCTGTTCATTCTTTCTAGGGCACCTGGCATTGGCTACTCTCAGAGGACAGGATACTGGGCTAGATGGACTTTTATCGTGACCCAGTCTGGGCATTCTCATTTAGGTGATGTGCTTTTTAAGTAATTGTCTCTCGATTTCTCTTTCTTTATAGGTGAGTGTTTTAACTACCTTGGAACGGCGATTCAATCTGCAGAGTGCTGACGTGGGGGTGATAGCCAGCAGCTTTGAGATTGGGAACCTGGCCCTCATTCTCTTTGTGAGCTACTTTGGAGCCCGGGGGCATCGGCCACGTTTGATAGGATGCGGAGGAATAGTCATGGCTCTGGGCGCTCTCCTTTCTGCGTTGCCGGAATTTCTGACTCACCAATACGAATATGAATCTGGGGAAATACGCTGGGGGGCTGAAGGGAGGGATGTATGTGCTGCCAACGGGTCCACTAGCGACGAGGGACCAGACCCAGAACTTATCTGCAGGAATAGGACTACCACCAACATGATGTACTTGCTTCTCATTGGTGCGCAGGTGCTCCTAGGCATTGGTGCTACCCCTGTACAGCCACTAGGAGTTTCCTACATCGATGACCACGTGAGACGAAAAGATTCCTCCCTGTATATAGGTAAGACTTTGGAAGTTTGTCGAATGCTGTTGAGGTGTTCTTGATATTGCAGATGATTTATTCGGCATCAATAGAAAGAACGAATTTGGAGTTCTTCACTGTGCTTCTATGTCTGTGACGGTACCTTGGCTTTGATCTACCAAGAACTAACCATGACAAGAAACATCTCTTTGCCAGTGATAATCCTTGTGCCCTCCCTGTCCTCCTTCCACTTAAAATACCATGGCAGAGAAATGCAGGAGATCTTCATTCATAGTTGAGAGAGCTGCTGATGTCATCCTTTGGGTGGGTAGCCATAATGAGGCAGTGAGTAATTCAGAAGATGTTCCTTTGGTATCTTTTTTCATAGCAATTTCCTGTCTCTCTTAAACTGTAATGATATTGGTCACTTGTGGTTGTGTTATAGCTGCAGAACATCGAAGTTGTTTACCAGAGAGCAATTAACCACCTTCTTATCCAGTGTACCCTAGCTGCCCCCAGAGAGTGTTAGTTAGTATGCCTAATGATTACAGTATCTTGCAAGGTACATTGTTCCTAACAAGTTTTCTAATAATTTTTTTAGCAAAGTATTTCTGAGCACTCTCCTCACATGCAAAGAAAGTTCTCTCTGTAGAGAAGATGCTTTTACTCAGCATCTTGTGGAAAGCCCCCAGAAATGTTACTTATAGGGGAAAACAGGGTTGCAAAGCTGGTAAGACTATTGTCATTGAGGGGGGAATCAAGCATTTAACTCCCAATAGCAGTGGTCATGCTGCAAAATTATTTGCTGTATCTCAGGGATGTTTAGGGTTAGTGGCATAGTGCTGCATGATGGGGTTAGAGTATAATGCCAGGTTTTGGTTATCAATTGATATATCCTGGCCTTACGGTAAAGTGCTCATGGGTTTCTGTGAGAAGAACTTATGCTTCAGGGAGCTTTTTGAGTGAAATTGCTGTCTGGAGGCCTCTGGATGCTGCTTCAATCAGTTGTCTATAACTGCTCCATATTTATAGGACTTATCATTAGCTAGCCACCACTTCTGCTGGCCCCAAGACATGTGCTTATCTAATTTGCTGCCTGTATGTATTCAGGCCTGTCCAAAGAATTTTCAGGGGACCAAGGTCGCATACTGAGATTGACTGCACTGTGCGGCCGGGTGGCTCCCAGCCAGGAGCCAGGCAACAATTGTGGGCAGCCAGGGAGTGCAGGGCCCCGAAGGTGTGGGGCCCGAAGCAACTGCCTTGCTCTACTTGCCTTAAGGCCGGTTCTGCATGTATTCCTTTTGTGTCCCTACGCATGGTATCTAATGGCTACATTGACTTCACCCCCTGACCTACTTTGACTGGAAGCTGAAAAACAATCCCATCAACAAACCATTCTTGCTATGTCATCTCTGGTTGAGTTACTAAATATAACAAATATATTCCTGGCTGGAATAGCCACTTCTGTAACCCTGCTCAGCTTCTGTTACCATTTCTGAAATTGTCCCATGATATCACACTTAGTCAAACAGAGGAGAGACCTATTGGATAGGCTGGCTATTGTGTGTAGCTATTGTAGGCCTCTCATAGATTTATGCCTCTTGCCTCTACATGAGATTCTAGCATGTGCACAGCACAGCCCATACATTCCTTAAGTAGTCATAAAATCATTATTTCAGCAGTTAGCTCTGCATGCTGGAATTTTATGCTCTGAATAACTTGCTTTAATTTTCTGAGGGTTCCACTGTATAAAGAAAACTGGAAATATATCATCCTGTGTGTAAAATAAGGATAAAAATGGCCTCAAGGTAAATACAAAACTGAATTATCTGGAACAACTCTGTCAATGCCATAAACCATGAGTTTGAATTTATTCTTACAGTGACTTTGGAGTTATTGATCATAAAAAAATGTATTGAAAAATTAGCTATTTGCTTAAGTCAGTGGAGTAGATATGTTGGCAAGATAGATATGACAGGGCTCTGTGACCAGGACTGGGGAGGAACCCCTCAGTGACCACGCTTCAGAGAATTTTTTGAGTGACGTCGTCGTCTGAAAGCCTCTAGATTCTGCATCCATCAGCATTTTCATAGTGGGTAAGGAGGTGGTGCGATCAGGAATTTTGTTTGAGACATTAAACTTTCCGCATTAATATAACTTTTAAATTATTGATGCTGGGAAAATCCTGCCCCTCAGTCTTCCCAAAATTCTATTCAGCAATTGTTTGAACTTCCTCATAAATTTGCTTCTCGACAGTTTTGATTCAGCAGTCTTCCCAAAATTCTATTCAGCAATTGAACTTCCTCATAAATTTGCTTCTCAACAGTTTTGATTCAATTTTTGCAAACAGTGTGTTTTTGTTAAACTGGCATGAATGCCCATGAAAACTCATTCCCAGCCTTTCAAAACATGTCAGAAGTGTGTGTGTGCACTCATCCAATCAGGAATGAGTGGTATCAATGAGTAATTTCTGACCCACCCCTCCTAGGCATCACAACTTAATTTAAAAAAATACAATTTATTCAATACTTTCTTCAGATTGTGTTCAAATCATAGAGTAAAACAGTGAAAATCATTTTCTGAATAAATATGAATACTAAATAAATTTGTAGCTGCTTAGTATTTGTCATAAGCAGGAAGGAAGGTTAAATTCTTTAGATAAAATACTGATTGTGAATTATTTGGTCAGCTTTGAATTTACTTGACTCTCTTTCAGTGATGTCAAATATTACAATTTTCAGTGACCTTGGCAAAAAGGAGCATCTGTGCTCAGCAAAGCTAGTTTAGTGTCATTTTTCCACTGTTATACATCCTCAGTTATTACCTGTGTCTTGTCAGTTTTGTGTACCAGCCTCTTCTTATATAATAGTGTTCACTCTGTAGGGGCTGTGCTGTATGGTTCCAGAATAATAGGTTTCTGGGATAACTTCTATAATTTTAAATTGGGGGGGGGGGGGGGGGAGAGGAAGCAAACACATATTGCTGCTTGAGGAGAGAAACTAATTAATAATGATAGCAATAGTCCAAACAGGCATCTTGTCACATTAGACAGCAGCAAAGAAATGACCATTTCTTGGCCAAACTATGTAACTTTTGCCATAGGGCTCACTTCAATAGTATGCATAGCGTGTCTGGCCTAGGATCGAGTTAGTCAAGGCATTAGTTAATATTTGTTCACTTTTGACTAGACCAGTATGAATAAGAATTCCTTCAAGCATGTTCATGCAGTAAACTAGATGGAATTGTCCAGTGTACTGTGTCTGTTTCTTTTCAGTCCATATTGTACACAGGTAAGACTTTCTACCAAGTATCTGTAGAAGGTGTCCAATGCCGCTGAGTGGGAAACTGGAATTTAGGAAACATTTGTGATCGGAAACTCCACCATAATATGAGGTGGGATGGCGGGGAGTGGGGCATGGATTTGGAAAGCATTGAGAAACCTAGTAGAATTAAAAGAAGATAAACAAGGGATGGCGGGGAGTGGGGCATGGATTTGGAAAGCACTGTGAAACCTAATAGAATTAAAAGAAGATAAACAAATTGGGATTTTAACTGTGTGCGCTTCAGTGCTGAAAATTTGTTATTGCATACTGATATCTATATGGCAGTTGATGGCCACTGAAAGTGGTAGAGAGAAGAATGATTTTAGACCATTTTGACTAGGCGCCAAACTTGTGAAGAATTAAGCATATGCTGAACTGTACACTGTCCTTAAAGAGTCCCATTGGATTTAAACTGCATGTTGCAAACTTAGTGTACTGGTGCAATGAAATTTAGCACATATGATATGTGAAGTAAGTTTGATTAACTAACCTTACCACAACTGCATGTACAGTTGTGAAAATTGTTAGATCCCTAATCCAGCAGTTGGGTCCATGTGGCAGATCCTTGTCTATCATCATGGGACTTCAGTGGGTCATGGCCACATGGGTTGAATTAAAGCCTGGAGTGCAATTTTATGCATGCACAATTCGAGCCCCCCCCCTTAACTTTTGAAAAATCTGGCACATGTCACTGGGGAGAGCGACCAAGGCCCTGACTTTGCAAGGCACATAAACATATGCCTAACTTTGAGCATGTGTGTGCTTCCATCAAAATATGAATTAATGCACTTAAAGCTGGGCACATGTATATGCACCTTGCTGAGTTAGAGGAGGGAATTCTTTGGATTTCATAGTTGCAAAGAGGAAGGGGCAAACATCTAGCAAGAATATCTTATCAGTATGGGGCTCCTGCCATGTTGTGAAGGTTGAACATCTCTGGTCCAACACCAGCAGTGAAAGTAACTTCACATTTCTTACAGGTACTGTCCTACGGCAACCCTGGGTCCCTGTCAGCTCTTTAAATAGCTCCCTGCTGGCTTTTGCAGCAGCTCAGCCAGCTCTTGCTGGACCTGTGCACAAGGGTGCACCTACTTACTTTTACCTCTGTCTGGCACTCTCAGGACCTGACTGGTGTGTCAACCTGTATTTCAAATATCGAGAGGACAGGAGCAGTGCTTTGGAATTATGATGCATGCAATATGTTGCTACCAGTCACAAACTGACTGTGTTGCTGTAGTAACCAGCCTTACAAAAATGAGGGGGAGAAATTTTGTGGTAACTGGAGGGATATCAAATCAGAGAGAACTCCTCTACACAAAGATTCTTAAAAGACAGTTTTACCTTAATATAGACAAGGCTCTGTAGTCTTTTGATAAGTGTTCCTACCAATGATGGGGAAACTAATTATTCCATTTCATCCGCTAAAAGTGGATTTAGCTCAAAGGCCATGACCATAGGGAAAAGAGCCAAAGAGATTAGACCTCCCCCCAAAAAACCCTGTTAGATCATTGAAGTTGTGAAAAGAATTTGATTCAGTGTTTATTTGCTTTTTTTTTTAACCCAACATCATACTGCTTTATCTCTCTAAAACCAATCTGATTTCATTCCAAAAGATCCCAAACTAGAGAGCCGGTCCAATGCAGTTTACCTACGTCACCTGTATATTTCTCTGCAGTCACTGGAAAAAAAACATTTTTGATAGGAAGCTTCCCTCAT